CATTATTCGATCAGGGATCATATAAATCATGTGCTTGTATTGGTTTAGAAAGGTACTAGCCAAATCTTTCCAAGAGCGGACTTGAGCACGACTCAGTTGGTTATACCACCTAGAAGCAGGTCCAGTCAGACTGTTTTGGAAGCAGTGGATCAACATCCGATCATTTTTAGTGTATCCAGTCATCCTTCGAATAAACATCGTGAGATGGACATTAGGGCAACTGGTTCCATCGTACTTTTCAAACTCAGGCATCTTGGATTTGGGCGGGAGCACCAGGTCAGGAACTAGCACTAGTTCTATTGCATCCATCCCGTTGTGAGAGTTTTGTCCTCTCATTCCCTGGAATGTCTTTCTGCACCACTGTTTCAGATTCGCCGGGATCTCGTTATTGACTCTTTTCATCTTATCAGGATTTGACATGCTGTGATTAGTAGAATTACCCTGAAGATTTATCACATTTGTACGAGCTTTAGTAGCTGAGAAGCTTACTTGGCGGCTTGGAAGCTTATGGGGTGAAATAATTATTTGGGGATTAGCGTGGGCTATCACACATTCGGAGGTTCCTCCGGTCGAGGAAATCTTCTCTTTGCTTCTTCCTTGGTTGAGCTCAGCCATTTTTGTTACCATTTGGCCAACTAGGTCTTTTTGGTTTTGCAGGATACGATCCACAGTGGTCTTTTGCATCTGCTCCATTTTAACCTCCCACTCAACTTGCATCTTTTGCAAACTCTCGTTCAACTCTTTCTTTAATTCCTCAAATTTTGCATCCATTCTCAGTACTGTGTGAATGCAATTGCACAGTTAGAAGTGCTTCCTCAAAGTTTCCAGCAAGGTATGATTAATGCATGTAAACATGCTTAAATGAATGTTGTGCAAAATGCAATGATGCAAATGCAAATGCATAAATGTTGATCCCAACGATGAATATCTTAGAATAATTTTCACTAGAGATGAAAGCCTTCACATCACAAGACAATCCACTTTACAGACATGCATTCGCTTAGATGCTGAGTCTGAAATAGATCGCTGCTTCGTCTCGGATCTTCGTCTTCGAAAACGATGCCCCTCAAGCGTTTCTGTAATATGACTCCGTTAATGCCCCGACGATGCGGAAGTCAGTGCGTCAATCCTTGATGACTAGAGATGAAATGATTGTAAATGAAAATCTACTACTGGAGTATTCTTTGGCTCAATTGATCATCATTTCAGTCTTGGATGCTGCACTATCTTTGAGCGAGTCTTATTCTTGTATTCTGGACTTCTTTTAGCCCTCAATGCATGTCTGTATATGCGACTACTTGATTGAAAACTTTCATCTCTTCTTGTGAAAATTTTCTCTCGAATATCCCCTTGCTGATCAACATTTTCGCATTATGTTATGATGATGCAATGTAAAGAAGAATGAAAAAAATACACAAACAACAGAAAATAAATAAGTTAGTGCACACAAAGAAAAGAAAAGAAATTAGTTAGTACAGGTAAGATAATCGATATATATATAAATATTATTTAGAGATGAATATAACACCTACCCCATCATGATATCTACCCAAACATGCTTTCAATAGATAACAATCCTACCCGGACATGCTATCTACCCAAAAATGATTTAATTTCAAGAAAATAATCCTAACCGCATGGTATCTAGTTCGCATGCTTTTATTCTAAAAGAATAAATATATTCTACAAACTTAAAACAAAAGGTAAGGGTTTAGAAACATTCCTCCTTTGTGTACACCTATTTTAGGTACCTACTGACGGACAGAGGTTCGATATAGCTATACCTAGGGTGACCATTCTACGGTTCACTATATGCATGGTTTCGGTTCTAACAGGAAAGGGGACTCGAATTGTCATTGATGTCGGTGCCCCTTTGGGCTGCCAAACCCTCGATCCTCACCCATTACAGGTTTCAAGCGGAACGAGTTCAATTCGAGGGGATTCACTGCCTTATACCCATGCGAGGAATAAATTCCTACGAAGGTATAAGGTATGTATCCCATGGGTTATTTGCTAAAACTCATACGAAGAATAAATTCTTACGATAGTAAAGCATTCACCCTGACTAATTTGGATCGAAGCTCGTGTCTAGAGCTTATGTTATGCAAATGCGAGTGATGTGTGTGAGGAGGAACATACCTACCTTCGACCCAAATGAAAAACAAAACAAGGAAAAAATGATAAAATCTTGACAAAGCTGAAAGCCAAAAATAAAATATTAGTATGACAAAAAAAATGAAGCAATTAAAATTTCAATAAACGGATCAGAAGTTAACTAAAGATTTGAACTCATAATTTCGACCACAACGACAATGTGTAAGCGACCTACAGCTTGACTCTCTAAAAATAAGGTCCCCAGCAGAGTCGCCAAGCTGTCATAACCATTTTTAGGTAAAACAATTAAATATTGTTTAAAAAAAACGATTATGACTTTAATTTGTAAAAATCGGTGATTTCGGAATTAATTTGAATAAAATAGAAAAGAGTCGCCATAGACCTTTGAGTTAGGTAGGTCGAATACCTAAAACCTTCTTTCAAAACAATTTTAAGGAAAATCATTTTTTAAGACAAAATTCGGTCTGCGTTACCAAAGATTCATTTAAATGGATTCGGGAGTCGGTTACGTGTGGAGAAGGGTAAGCACCCCCACAACGCCCAAAATTGGTACTGTGTCGCTTACACATTGTTGTAAATAGTGGAAATTACAAATCGAATATAAAGTTAAAATATGATCTATTTATCGAACATTGATTAATTTGCTTCGAATTAAATTAATTACAAAAAATTCTTTAACTCGAAAAGAAATATCAAAATTAGTAATCCTCCATCGGGAAAGCTAACTCGACTATTTCTTGTCAATAAAAGAATATTCCCTCATTGATAAATATGCAAATCGAATATAAATAAAATTGACGTTTGCAATTGAATAAAAGGAAATAAATAGTGAATTAAAAGTAACACACATTGCATTATTAAAATAAATTAATTAGTAAAATATACTCTATTTGTTGCAAGTTCCTATGTCGTTAAAATGTCGTATCGGATCGTACCACTTCGACCAAGTGGTACTTTCCACGCCCATTCTACGCATACGTGTTCTTGAAAATATAATCGAATATTTCGTACATAGATAAAAATATAATATAAAAATGTAATTACAAATACAAAAATATTTACATTAAATGAAATAAAAAAACATTATTTACATAATACAAATAACCAAAAAATAAGTGCAATAATATCATACATAAATGACTAAAATAAAAATAAGAAAATATTATAAACCAAGATAAAATTATCAAAAGGTAAGTATTTGTAACTACAAGGATCAAAATGAAGAAAAACAGAAACTTGATGTGCTAAAATAGTAAATACAGGAATTTAAGGGAGTAAATAGCAAACATAGAAACTGAATAGGTTAAAAACAGAAGAAACATAAATTTAGGGACCAAAATAAAGAAATAGAAACTAATGGGACTAAAATAAATAAACAAGAACTTACAGGGCTAAAATAGCAAAACAGAAAGTTAAAGGACTGAATAGTAATAATAAATAAATCAGGTTTCAAATCACAAATGTTAAATAATACAAGTACTGGAAAGAAAATAACCCAAAAATAATAAAGGACTAAAAAGAAATAAACAGAAACATGAAAGCCGAATCATAAATAATCCAAATGTAAAACGATGACTAAATTAAAAGGTTTACAACTATCTTTTCCACATTCAAATTTCAAAGAAAGTATACACCATCTAACCTCAGTGACGAAAACATAAGTACAGAAACATAAGTACAGAAATATAAGTGCTCAAAACGAAATAAAATAAAATTTCATTTAATGATTAAAAAAATGATTACAAAATATTGGGGACCAAACCTGACATTTACCCCCTATGCTGAAACACGCATGCCCAGACCCTTTAAACGGCGTCGTTTCATTCAGTGGTTATATACCACTTTTAGGGTTAAGGAACCCTATTATCTCACTCTCATCTCTCAGCCGAAAATAGGGAAAGGAGAGAGTTCCAACTCTCTCCCCAAACCCCTTTAACACCCGCCGATCCACGGCGTTCCCAACGGCCGAGCACGACGGCCGACGCTTAAAACAACCACCCACAGAGCCCCACTTATCCCTCCTCTTTCCTTTTCCTAAATCCAACCTAAGAACCGAGCCCTCGATCACTCAAAGCTTTAAACAAAACCCTTACCTTCAAAACAAATGGATCCCCGTTCCGATGAAGCAACGGTTGTGGTCGAAAAGGGTAAGATTCTCACTTTTATCTCTATTTTATTTTGAAATTTCTTCTTTTTATTTTTTCCTCCTCTTTTGGTTCGATTGCTTTCTCCTTTTTATGGTTTTTCTCCCGTTTTTTTTTTCAACCCGAATCTCCTCTATTTTTATCTCTGTTCTCTGCTCTTAACACCCTTGAATCCCCCTCTTGTCTGGTTGCATGCTTGATTTATTAGGGGTTTTGAATGAAATCATGAAGCCTACGGGGTATGGGGATTGTTTCTCTGATTTGGTACGATTGAATCCCGAAAAAATCGGGATTTAGAATGATATTTTAATGGGTTCACTGTTGATGACATTTTCGGATTGATTTGGGTATTTGGATTGATTTGTTTGATGTGGTTTACTGTAGATGACTGTGGGGGCGAGACGGGCCGGAACAGTGACGGTGGCGTGGCTGTTCATCTGCTGTTGGCGGTTCATCTTTTTTGAAGTAATTGTATCTAATGTTCTTGACTGATACATATCCCAGACATTAGTAAGGGATATAAGCTCCCCAGATAAATGAAAAAAAATTAGAAAAAGAAAAAAGTTGAATAAACCCATGTTCCAGACGCACACCCGAATTCAAACAACATAAGTTCTAAAATTATATCCATTAAGTATCGTACCACCACACTGAACACAATGGTTGAAAACTATGTGTCGATAATACAATACTGTAAATAAATAAAGCCAAGGAGAAAACGATCATTCAACAAATGATTACCTCATTAACGTATGGCTCGATAATACAACACTGTAGATATGATGCCTCAGATGATACAATATAGAAAGAAATTCCCATTCGATAAAGTCTGTAGAGAAGTAAAGAAACATCTTATAGTTCCCTTCCGGTTTTAGATTAATTTCGGGCAAAACATCTTATAGACCCAAAACGACAACAGAAGAGAAAGAAAAAGTGGAGCCACTAAAGAGGGTGTTCGTGCCGGAGGAAAAAGAGAAAGAAAGAGAAGATTTTAAGTTAACCGAAAATTTTGTATAAACTACACTTTAAGTCCCCCAACTGATGAGAATTCACAAATAATTGTAATATTTCTAAAACATTCAATTAGACCCAAAACTGAGATGTTACAAATTGAGGAACCTAATTGAAAAAATTAAGAATTTATAGTCCCAATATAATACATAGCTACCAAAGTTAGTGACCAAAATAATCTTATTAAAACCATTAAGCAAAATTCATAACCATATGAGAACTAGAAGTCAAAGATAAACACTCTCAATAAACTTGGAGAACTCATGTTCCATATTCTCCCTTATTTTCCTATTTCCTCTAGTCATCTCTTTGCAGCACAAAGGAGTTTGCTTCACCGACCAGTCTTGGACTCTAGTAAGCATCGTCGACCATCGCACCGGCCGTCGTCGCCTGTGGTCGTCTGAACATAAAAGTCACCATTTGAATCGGCTTGCGCTCCTCATCATGAATATGGCCTTCAATCGTTAAAATGACACCTCCAACATCGAAAACGAAACCCCCCTAGCTCTTGTCGACATTCTACTTTATTTTTCTTGTCTTGAGTTGATACACCATGGTTGCTAATAGTGGTTCTGCAGATGATGAGATGTTACATTGAGTGGAGCTCACATCGTCGGTTGCTGCAAGGATGCTGATCAGAAGCTGCTGTGGTTCAACGGGATAGCTGAGTACGTTTAGCTTGCTAGTCGATTGGTTTGGTCGATCTCCTACTTCGGTTCATTGTTTTGGAGAACCAACGAAGTTAGGTTAAAGATCCCTCCGTCGTCATCCCCATTCTCGGTTTTTTCAAAACCGAACTGCACCCATAATAAAAATATCTCTAATTGTGTGGCCCTCATTATTTTTAATAAAATAATAGTAAAAATATTTATCAACCAAACTTCAGATAATTTCATTAAAAAAATAAACTCATGCATTATAGGTGATAAGGGGGCAGAGACGGTTTTACATTATCTATTTCGTTATTAACATTTGCATGTATAATTTTTAGGAATCTCTATTATATGTTTCGAATTTTTTTTTTATCTTTATATTCATTTCTTACGAAATTCTGTGAGTTTCGGTTAATTTTACTCTTAAAAATAAATAAATATTTTTTAAATTAATGTAACACCTAAAACTTGTAAGATATATCAGATTGTCTCAAATTGATTTTTATTTATAATATGAAAGTTTCAAATGTTAATATTCATCTAACATATAATGTATATGTACAATTTTAACCATTTTCAATTTCAACAAATCAATTTATATTAAATGAGAAAATATTTAAACTTTAATTTTAGTTTGTTTGAGATATAACAATGTCAACACGTAATCTCACAGATATTTTTCGAGGATTCTTACAGTTATTTTTGTAAAATATCGGAGATCACTACAATTATTTTTTGGGATTCCTCAGTTATTTATACGAGTACGGTTCAGTTATCCTCACGATTCGGATATAACAATCCCCTTCCTCATCTTCATTTGAGTTTCGAGGATAAAACTTCACCCACCTACATCCTCGTGGGTGAAAATTTCAGTTATTCTTCATCCCTGTCGATTTGGATCCCTACGATTTTTAGTTTTTTCCCACTCAATTGGCAACTATGATGCATTTTAGAAATCTCTTAAATTTATAATAACCATGGGTGGGAAAATTATGACTAAAGTCCATGAATTTTCTCCATATTTCTTTTGAATGCAATACTTTAATCAAATTTTTATTTTAATCTTTATATTTAAACTATAAGAAATATAACCCTTAAATTGGTAAATTGGGCTGTGACAGTTTATATTTTAATCTTTATATTTATCGTGGTGTTTTTTTTATCCTAGTTGTGATGTTTGCAGTTTAGCCCTTTTTTATTTACTTTTTCTTATTTAGACAAAGAATTTTGGTCAATAATTTTATGAGATGATCCACAGAGGATGATGATTCTTAATCGTAAAAAAAATTAAAGGTTCAAGATCCATTCCATGATGATTTATATATTAATCTTCAAACTTAAGGTGATGATTATTTGTATATCGTCATGTTAAATAGATCTGTTTGTTATATAATAGATTTAGTTATGATATATTATATGAGTCATTCAGTGGTCATGTAAGGAGATTACAACAGTTTCGAAGATATTAAACTCCATAAGCTATTTATAACTCCGGAGGCCTGGACACGAAAAAGACCAATAATAAAAGTATAATTTGTAAAGAAGATTCAAAAGATGTAGACATCCCTGAAGTTGATTGTCCTTTTTATGTTGCTTCTTTCGCTATGTTCTTCTACGAAAGATTTAAGATTTAAGGTATAAGATGCAATAGAGCAAACGTACGATATCATTAATACAAAACAGCATAAAATATACAAGAACAGAAGCAACCACCACTAGAGTGCATGCAATGCAAACTTTATTTAGCCTGATAATCCCATATAATAATCCTTAATAGAACAAACACACCTTCACTTGCAAATTGGAACAGGAGAAGGAATTATTTGACAAAATCCACTGCAACATTCCCTACAACTATTGGCCTGGGAACCACTCGGCTTGCAAGTTTCAGCCGGTATGTCAACCCAGAAAATATTGGCCAAAGGGTTCCTAATGTTGGCATCGGTGATGACCGATAAAGGCATCAGTTCGTTACGAGCAGCTGTAACAGGCGGAGCCACCGCGGCTAAAACCACCACAGCCGTTGCAACCAAAAGTAAAGCCAACTTCTTGCATCCCATTTTTTTTAATAGCAACTAATGGAACTTGATTACTTATAAAGTATGAGATGAGTGTATGTTCTCTCCCACCCAATGCTCCCTTTATATAGTACAAGGTGATGGGCCTAATTGATTACATAGTTGGTCATCTCATCTGCTGTGTGTGTGGTTCTCTTTTAGTCACGTTTTGTTTTTTTCTAAATGATGGGGCAAGGTGGTGTCAGACTAGTTTTTATTTCTCTTTACACGTGTTTGTCTTTTAGGTGTTTTCATGGTTTTTCTTTATTGCGGGTCCCGTTGTGGATAAGTAACTTATGTGGTTTAGGTGTTTCTGTACTCGTATATCTTCGATTTCTCTTTGCCATTTTTCTTATATTTTTCAGACAGTCTTCGTATTATTTTTCTCAATCTAACACATTTTATAATAAGATGCGTCCTTATAACGTGTTTTACGTTGATATGACGTCACGTGGGTAAAGCACGCTCCCTAAAGCGCACCTTATGTTCAGTTGAAATACACGTGTGTAAAACGCGGCCCCTGAGACGTGCCTTACCTTTAAATCTGAAACGCGTCAGAAAGGCGCGCCGCAGGATTTAATTACCCACCTATCCCGGCCGTTCATACCCCTACCCCTACCTATACCTATACCCCTACCTATAAATACTCTTATTCTCAATCACTTTCATCACATCAAATCTTCTCAACTTCTCTCAAATACTCTTATAACTGTTTAAGGTATATTTTATTATATTTAATATTTTATTTTTAATTTATTTAAATATTTAATTTTTTTAATATTTAATTTAATTAATTTTTTTACAGATATAAAATGGAAGACAGTCTACTTCGCTTGGAAGAAAATTATATATCGCGACATTTTACTGATAGAGTAACATTTTAACATTTTAATTTAATTTAAATTATTAGTTATAATTTATTTATTTATTTAATGCATGATTATTAGTTTAAAAATTAATTTTTATAATTATTTAATTTTAGGAGAGGGACCGTGTATTAGATCCTTTTATTATGAGCCTTAAGTTAGTGATACATAGCTGTGTCTTGTCGTAATTAGTAGAGGATGAATTCGGTCACATAGGTAGATATGAGGGTCATTGTAAGAAAGAACTAGACCTTATTACTGCCTTAGTGGAGCGGTGGAGGTCGGAGACCTACACATTCCATCTTCAGTACGGAGAGTGCACTATTACACTTGAGGATGTTTCTATGCACCTGGGGCTTCCGGTGGATAGAGATGTGATATCGGGGATAGTGCACGGTTCATGGATTGCTTTGTGCCGAGAGTATCTAGGACGTGTCCCGAAAAGTTTTAACGGTGGTCGGATACCGTTAAATTGGTTAGATGCCAATTTTCGGGAGTGAGCGAGGACGCCTCTGATGATGAAGTTAAAATGTATGCACGGGCATGCATATTGCAGCTGATAGGAGGGTTGCTGATGCCGGACAAATCGCGCAACCAGTGATACGAAGAAATCCTCTTCGAGACCGACAACCACCGCCTTGCGGAACACATTCGCGCAGCAGACATCAATAGATTTTGTTTTTTTTATTATATTTGTATTTAGTTGTATATTGAATTTTTTATTGTAATTTTTTTTATTATTTATCATTTAATACTTACTTTATTTCATTAATTTGGTTGGATTTATTTTAATTTATTTTGTTAAATTTGTTGGATTTTTTGTTAATGTATTTTGGTTAATTTTTGTTTATTTCCATTTAATATCAGTTATTGTAATTTGTTTATCATTTACCATTTAATACTTAGTATAAGTTTGTTATATTTAAAATTATATTCAAATACTAAATTGTTATTAGTTTGATAAAATTTAATAATTGTGTTCGATAACTTTCTTCAGTTTGTCACTTATTATCTCTTTTTATTATAATCACATATAAAGCCAACGTCCAATCTCATATTCTTGTATCGTTTTTTTAATCTTCATCAGCGGTTATCAAATGACATTAACTTGAAGCAAATGCAAATTAAAGTATAAGAATTCTTATTTGATAAACAACTACATCAGTTCCTCATCAATTGTTACTTGATGACA